GGCTCGCAGTCTAGTTGGGAGCAGGCTCTTGGCCAAGGCACAGAGCACGGCTGGACAGACAGAACCCAGGGTATGGAATGGCGACAGGGCAGCCTGCAGTCAGAGTGGCGAGATGTGAAGGCGGACGCAGGGAGGAGCCAGACCCTGAAGCACCAGGTCAAGGGTTGGGCAGTTTCCTGAGAGGAGAGAGGCCATTGGATGTATTCGACCGGCAGGGACAGGACCAGCCCTGCCGGTTGCAAAGACCACTCTGGCGGCACCATGGACCGTAGACTGGAGGGGATGCACAGTGGGCCTGGAGGCCACCAGTGCAGGCCAGTGGTGGTGGGGACAGAGAGGAGAGGGTTGGTCCAGAGGGGCAGAACCCAAGGAGTTTCCTGACTTGGTGCCTAAGGGGGACGAGGGTGGGCCCAGGACAACCGCAGGCTTTGACTTTGAACTCCTGGATAGATTCAGAGTGTCGTTTCTGAGACAGACCCGGGAAGAGCAGGTCTGTGGGAAGACGATTTCAGTTTGGACGTGTCGTGCCTCGGGGTTCACCGTGAGTGGGCAAACAGCTTTATCAGAATACTTTTTGAGGTTGCAGAGGGAGCGGGGCGTGCTGGCGTGTCAGAGCGCAGGGGAGGAAGACATGGAATCCATGCTGGCTCCATGGCTGGGGACAGCAGTCCTGAATGCCCCTGCCGGGCACTTGATGCATCTCACCCCCTTTTAGGGACGGGGACATGGAGGTCCCATTAAGTGGCTTGATCAGGGGCTGCCAGCCCTGTGAACAAGCTTTGGCTCCTTCCATCACCTCTGCTCTGGGGAGGGGCCTGGCTTCCCACCACTTCACTAGCTTCTTTCTCTGCTGAACTCGCCAAACCTGGGGCCACTGTCGACAGAACAACTGTTTTCGGTGTTACGCAGGCACAGTGCTATGTCTATGGTTGCATTAAATCCTCCTCTATGTTCCCTGAGGGTGGTACAGTCACCCCATTTTAAAGATGAGGAAAAGGAGGCTCAGAGAGATTAGGAGTCTAGCCCCAGTCACACAGCTCTTCACTGTGCCTCAAAGTACCTTTAGCAGACCCTGTCTTTGCCACTCGTGGAGACTGGGGCAGCTGCTGTCTGAGCACAAGGCGGCATGAGGACACACAGAGCTGCACGGGGGCGAGGGCCAGGGGCAAGGCGGGGGGAAGTGAAGAGGTTTGGCAGCACAGGAAGGGCTAGGCACACCCCACCACATGGTTCCCTGGTTCCTCGCGGCCCCTCACCCTGAGCCTACACGCCTCCCCACTTTAGGTCAACGCAGGCTTTGCTTTTCGGTCCACAAGCAAGTGGGAGCAGGAGCAGCCTGGCTTCTCTCAACCTGGACACGTGGGTGAAAATACAACAGCTTCTCTGCAGCTCGCCATGAGGCCCAGGGGCTGGGGCTTCACAAGGCCTCCGGCTACCCTCTTAGCCACCAAAAGTCCTTTGAGGCCGGGGATAGAAAGAATGACATCAATAACTTATCCTCCTGCTGTGACACACCCAGCTGGGCTCACATGGTACCGGCACAGTGACATCACACCTGGAGGTCTCAAGGCCTGAGCTCGACTCCCACCTCTGCCCATGGATGAGCTCGGGGGTTCCATCCAACAAGACAAACGCCTCCGGTATTTCATAACAGGATTCAAATGGAACTCATTCTTTTTTCCTCCCTTATCACTTTGCACACACGAAATCTATTTTAATTAGCTTTCAGTAGATGATCTTAACAAAATAAGAAAGAAACCCCACAGATTGCTCCCACCCCCAAAGGGTTCTGAGAGAAAGGAAGATTTATCTTGTAAGTTTCTTAAGAAAATCTATATGTGCTCAATGCATTTAAATGATGCTCATTAAAGGAAGCTGCATGCAAGGCGGCTTCTCTAGTCACAGATGAGAGACAGTCGCTTGACCTATTGCAAATCAAAAAGCATTTCCACGACACCTTTATTTTTCAAATGGTTAAGTTTTAAATTAAAGTCCCAACACCCTTTTTGGGAAGGCAGACTCACATAAATAGCCCCAACTGAGAATTTTAGCTCAGTCGATTGGAAGATAATTACAAGAAACAAAATGTGAAATTTTAAATCAGGGCCCTAATGAAGCCTAAAAATACCAGTGGCCCATCCCTCTGGCTGGCAAGGCCTGCTCTTCATGGATGGAATTTCTCCACAATTACTCAACCCCGTGAGAGGCCAGGTTGTCACGTCAAACAATAGCAGGGGGAAAATCACGGGACTTTAATGAGCTAGATCTCAAGGCGTTCTATGGTGGATCTTATTATAATCCTGGGCAAGGTTTCAAACAGTGAACAGGAGGGAAGGAAAGTTCTTTTTTTTTTTGAAAGTGGAGTTCAGACTAGTGTTGCTACCATCACACAGTGCCTCCTGGTTCCCGCTCGGAGCCAGCTGTCTGTCACTTGGGAGTGTGGAATCAATTGGGCTCTGGAGATGTAAAATCCCAAGGGGCAAAATTAAAAGTGACCCAAATCCAAACCCACATGGTCTTGTCAGGAATATGATTCTCACGTGGCAAGTTTCAAAGATTCGGTTTCAAAATTCAGGTTTCTTATATTTAAAAATATGCAATTGTTTGACATTAGCTCTGAAAGATAAATTATAGCTTTAGCAATAAAGGCTTTTAAGCTTAGGAATGAAAGGAGAAATTACTTAAAAAAAAAAAAAACCAACAAAAACAACAAACCCACCCAGGCTCGAGTTTGGCGGCTTTTGTATGTGCCTGTTTCATTGTCTTCTTCACCCCGAATATAAGGGGATAAATCCACTGATGAGGGCCATGAATACAGAAGTGAGTTAAATGTAATGTCTGGGGAAACAGCCAGCTCGCTGGCAAACGATGGAAGTCAGCGTGACCGGCTGTGACCGGCTAGAGCTGGAGGGATCTCACTGACCCACAAAGGGTGGGGCTGTGGGCACTTTCAAGGCCCACCCCATCGCTGGCCCTTACCTGAATCTACTTTATAGGGGCTGGAAGACGGAATCCCATCAAGGCCCCTCTTTCTTCTCCCTTCCTGTCTATGCGCTTGGACCACCATAGAGGATGGTTCACACCCTCTGGCCCCACAAAGATTTTACAGGTGTGGCTTTGCAATGGTCCGCTGGCCCAGAGCACACAGGGGCCAGCGGGGGCCTGTCTCCACCACTATATTTTGCTGATCTTATGAACTCAGGCGCCTGATGATGATGACATGCACCCGTGCCTAGCAGCTTCAGGGAGGGGATCCCGGTTCCCTCTGAACCCCACACCAGGGACTCCAGAACCATCTGGGTCAGTTACCCTTTTGCATAGGTGAAGTCCTTTTCCTCGATGCATGTCTGAAACTTGGCAAGTCAACACGACCTTACATCAGCCTTAGAAGGCCCTCAAGGTAGGCGTTATGCCCGCGGTGGTGGGGGAGAAGGGAGCCCACCCACTGCCTCAGGCTTTGGCAATCAGGCTTTGGCAAGGCCTTGGGAGCAGCTGGGGCACCCAGTGCCCAGTGTGTCAGTGTTGATAACCTATAAACTGGGAGTAAGTTGTTTTTTTTGTTTTTGTTTTTTTAAAGGGAGAGAGAGCGTAACCAAAACAACTCAAACAAAAAATCAATTTAGTCAATTTTTTTTAAAAAGATCTTAAACAAAGCGAGAGTTTACCAGAATTTAAATGTAATTTTCTATAATTTTGTCATTTAAAACTAGTGCTGATTTCCAAAAACAAAGGCAGTCAGGGCGCAATCAGATTGGGAACGAAACCCAGTGAAGATCTAGATTCAGCTTTCTTGTTGGGATGCTTGACAAGGCCTGAAAATTGCCCAAAAGGATAAAGATAGAGATTCATGAGAGCAGGCGGGAAAGAGAAGGGCTAGTAGGAGTCATTGCTCCGCTAAGAGGCAAGACCACCCCAGCCCGAGACGCACTCTCAAGGGGTTGTAAGTAGGGAGTCTGAGAATGGTGCCCAGAGGCCCACGCTTCCTAGGACCATCTAGCCTCCCCTTCCAAACGAGGCCCGAGTCCCCCGCAGGCAGGCTGCCCGCCGTGTACGCTCCTGCCCGCACCTGGGTCCAGGCCTGGTCGCCTTCCCTCTGCACTCAGCGGGAGCAGGGCCCAGCTCTATGGAGCTCTAAGGCAGATGAGCCCCACCCACCTCGCGTCCACGGTCCCAGGTCCTGCTGCCCGGTCTGCATCCTACTGGACAGACAGATCCCTCGCCCCAGGCAGACAGCAGAGTGAGGCCAATTTGCTGAGGCCTTTTGCCCTAACCCTCAGGCTGAGGGCTCATGTCCAGAGCCACGTCCTGGTGTGCTCCCTCCTCCAGGCTCTGTTCCCAAGGTCCTGCCTTGAAAACTGCCCCAGGGCTGGGAGTAGGGGGTTAACTGAAGGCTGAGCCTGGAGGTCCTCTTTCCTGGAGCCTCACAGAGCCACCTTGGGGTCCTTGAGACAGAAAATTCAACTGGCTCAGGTTGGTCTTGGAGTGTCTCCTGGGCCTCAGCTAATGCCCAGGGAGGCGCTCTCATCGGATGGCATGGCGGAGGGTGCTATTCTGGGGAGGGACACAGACAAGCCGTATTCTCACTGTCCGCATGAGTGGAAGATGGAGAAGGCCCTGAAGGGACTGTTCCCTGGAGTCTACGTGGAGCCGATGATTCCTGCTCATTCTACACTTGGCCTGGCCTTGGAGGTCAGAGGTAAGAATGGCCCGGGGCTTGGCTGGAGGCGAAAGGGCCCTGGACTTTGCAGACTCTCTCCTCCCCTCCTCACCCACTCACACTTCCCTGTCTTCTTCCTCCTTCTCCTCTGCCTCCTCTGTCTGAGGCCAGGCTGTCTTGGGCAGGGGGAGGCCCTACTGCAGCCTCTGGGTCAGGTGAGGCCATTGAGAGAGCTGTTGGAGAGCAGAGACCACCAGGAACCCCTCCTGTGCATGCTGTCGTAGTGCCCACGTGGGGAGGCACAGAGGCAGGCACACAGCGAGCATGTGGCAGCGGGACTTACCTTTGGGGTGCCCGGGGTCGGTGAACTCATACTTCCCGACACCAATGGTCCGCAGCATCTGCAGCCCGTGGGCTGAGTCAGTCGTGGGGGGCCCATTGGTGGCAGGGGCACCGCTGGGGAGAGTGGCAGATGGCTGGGCTGGTGGTGGCGGAGGCAGCAGGGGCCCTGCCATATGGCCGTTGCCCACAGTGGTGGGTCCTGGGCGGGCCACTTGCCCTACACCAGGCAGTGTGGACACGGCCAGGGGCTGTGGGCTGGCATACAGGGCCTGGGCAGGCATGTTGACCACCACGCTGCTCAGCGGCTGAGAGGGCGGCTGCGGGAGCGAGTAGTGGCCTGGCATCAGCGGGAGCTGGGGCCCCACGTGTGGAGGCAGCGAGGGGGTCACCCCAATGACCGGGGCCTGGACGTTCACTGCTGGGCTGAAGGTGGGAGGCTGGGCCACTCCATAGGAGTGTGCGATCAGAGCAGGCTGGCTCCCGGCGGCCACCGTGGTCACCCATGGCCCCGTGCCTACAAGGGAGATGGAAGAGATGTCATCTGCCCGTTACACAATCCCTCAACCAACACCGACTTCCCCAGGCCCTGGGTGCTGGGGTTACAGATACCTGTGCCCACGAGCTCACAGAAAAAGAATCTGTGATTACAGTGGCACGAGTTAAGTGCCTTAGGAATATAGTAATGTGAACAGATGGCTGTTAGGCTCAGAGGAGGAAGCACAGTCTGCCTGGGAGAGGTTAGGGGACAACAACAAAGTAGAGAGAAAAAAGTGGAGACCTTCCAAGAGGTCTGAGTTCAAATCTTGGCTCTGCCACTTACTAGCTAACAGCCCTGGGTGAGTTGCTTATCTTCTCTGAGCCTCATTCTTCTGATCTGTTAAATTGGACTAGCAATACCTACCTCACAGGTCTCCTGGGAAGAATCGAATGAGAAAAATGTATTTGGAAAAAACCCCCCAAAACCTAGCAGAGTATCTAGCATGTGTTAAATGTTCCATAAATGCTGGTGTTTTTCCTTGTTTTTCTGGAGAATCACTTTCTGAGAAAGGGCGGGAGTGAGAGCTGGATTGTGATGATAGGGTTTTGCTGGGCAAGATAAGAGCACCAGAGCCTGAAGACGTGCAAGGGCCCTGTGGTGCTGGAAGGGAGCGCTGGGGGTGTGGGCAGTGTGGGAAGGCGGTAGGGGCTGCTCTCCACGATCTTGCTGGCAGCGGGGCGGGTCGCAGGCTTTGTCCTATGTAACCTCTGCATGGCTAGCCCTGGGGGAAACACGAGAAGTCCACTGCATCCCTTAAGAAAACTGTGGCTGAACAAGGAAGTCCAGACACGCCTCCTGGGACCCAGTACAAGATGCAAGGCCAGCTGTGCCTAGGTCAGGCAGAGAAGGGCCCAGGGCCCCCTGAGCTAAGCTGACATGGAGGTGACTCAAGCAGGCCTGTGCGTGTGCCTGGGAGATCCAGTGACAGGCAAGGCCAGTATGGGTTGCCTCTGACTGAATGAGTGTGGCTCTAGGTCTCTGTCACCTGAATGTCACCTTGGTTTTCATGATGCTTCTGGAGTGGCAGTGTAGACTGAGGTTAGGGAGCTGAGGAAGGAGAGTGGGGGGTCAGGGGGCCACTCAGGACCCAGAGGCTAGAAGGTGGGGCTGGGAGTTCCCTCCCAGAAATAAGATTGCGGAGTAGAGGAGCCAAGACACAGGGCGACTATCAAACCACCAGTGGGCGCTGTCCCTGAGGGGTCCTCCAAAGGGAGAGCCACAGGCCGGTGGTGGAGAGCCAGGCTTGGAGCCAGACAGCACTTTAGTGCTGGTTCTGCTCTCACTAGCTGGTTGACCTCACACTCAAGCCTCCCCAGAGTCAGTTTCCTCATCTGCAATGGGACGATAAAAGCACCAACTTCACAGGGTTGCTGTGAGCATCGAGATGATACACAAAACAAGCCCCAGAATACACGTGCAACAAATAGTTCTGATTTTGATAACGAGAGAGCCTGGAGATGCTAGAAGCTGGCAAATGTCGGGGAAGCAGCGCCAGTAAGATTCCAGCATGGGCTGCTACGGGGGATTGTCCCCCAGCCTGAAGAAGAGGAGGTGGTGTCACCGTGAGCCAGCCTGGTGTCTTAACGACAAAGCATGATCTCCTAAGCTCAGTTTTCTCTAGGATTAGCCAAGGAGCCTGGAAAAATGCATCAGAGCTTGAGAGCACAGCTGGTGAGATCTCAGATAGCTCTGTGGCGAAGATACAGAGACGCTGTGCCACAGAGCTGACTGATTTATGAACCAAGAAATGGCACAGAGGGTGCTGGAGACCTGGGGAGCGGTTTCTAGCAATGTGCACCAGGCCCTGCTCACCATTTTTATCAATGATTTGGATGATGACATGGAAGACATCATGACTGAATCTGCAGGTGACATAATGTTAGAAGGGTGAAGCACAGGTCAGCAATAAAAGCAGGAATCTGAGAGATCCTGAGTCGCTCAGAAAGATATTGCTCAGGTCTTGCCCTTGTTCTCCACACCCAGCTGCCTTAGCCGGGCTGTGAGGAGACGGACAGGGGTCAGAGTAGCCACATGACAGTACTGGGTTCCTACTGTTGGGACAGCATGTGATGTGGCTGCCAGCAGAGCAGAAGTGAAGTAAAGTTGCAATGATCAAAGCAGAGAGGCTGAAAGAAGGAGGTGATGAGTGGACCACACGTGCGTTCTTTGTGTTGGGGTCTGTGGTTGAGTCATGGAGAGACTGGAGCAACCCTTCGCAGGTAAAAGGACTGGAAACCATGGGCTCTGGGGCGTGGCAGATGGACTTGGGGAGTTTATCATGCAGAAGATTTGGGCGTGGGGAAGAGCGGGGTCTTCAGATATGCGCTGTAGTGTAGAGGGCCAAGCAGATGTGTTCTGTGTATCCTAAAAGGAGGTCTGAGACCAATGGGGGAAAACAGGCAAGGCTTTGGCGATGGTCACAGCTGTCCAAAGAAGGCCTAGGGTGCTGTCCCAGGGACGTGGAGCACCCCATCTTCATGTAACTGATGGCGAGGCAGAACCTCACTGGAAGGTGTGACTTGAGAAACTGGTTAAGAATCAGAGTGCTGAGATTTGGAAATGGCTGGCTATTCAAAAAATAACCCTAAGTAGATTCAAAGTTACTCCTACCATGTCACTCTCACTCCCTTGCCTTCTCAAATACTTCCTCGAGTAGCAGAGAAAGGGGGTAGAGACACAGAAACTGCCCAGGAAATACACACAGTGCCCCCCTACCCCCACCCCAATGCAGCCTGAGGTCTGGGCTGCTGCAGGCCAGTGGGTCAGGACCTGCTGAAGGGCTGGGGCACCCAGGAGGCCCCTTGCACCCCTCCCAGCCCTGGGAGTAGGTGTCTCTGTCCATGCAGGAAGTACGCACCTGGATTGTCGCTCTCCCTCATCTGTTTGGAGGGTGGCTCATCAGTATCCCAGGGCGTGGACTGATTGATGGGCGTCTGCCCCCACCGGATGCTGGTCGTAAGTCCCTGGGACTGACTGTCCGCTTTGGAGATGCCAGGGGCCTGGGGAGAAGCAGGGCAGAAGGGTGAGCACAGCTTGGCAAGGGGCCTGCCCTGGGATGCACCCCCTGAGCAGGCCTGCTGCCTGAGCCATGTGGTCAGAGGCAGAGCCGCGGCCCCACACCCGGTCCCACGGGGGCGTCACGGAGCCTTCTGGCACAGTAGCAGCAGCTGTGACCTCTGCTGAGCTCCCGCTTCCAGGAGCACCCAACCCAGTGCCTCCCTGGCCAGCCTCTGCAGCTGGGTGGCACCTGAGCGTCCCACCTGAGCAATCACAAAGGAAACAGGGTTCTGTGCTGTGGGGTGTGAAGTTCCCCCAGCCCTTGGGCCATAAATAAACCGCCACAACATGGGCATGTGCTGAGCACCGACTGTATACTTGGCCCAGGCTCAGCGCTACCCCATGCCTGGCCCCTTGACATGTGAGAGAACAGCGCTCCAAAGTTCCATCATCAGGCCCCATGCTGCCCTCACACCAAGGCCCCAGAAGTCTCACTCCATGGAGGAGGCATGGAGAGAGTGGGGACAGGCGGAGGAGAGGACAGCTACAATCCTGCCACTGGAACCCTCAGCTCAGGAAGGAGGCAGGCTCCCTGCTCCCGGACCCCAGCTTCCAGCTTAGATATGTAGATTAATGAGCCAATGAACCTCGGTGAAAACAAGCATTAGGACAGCATCGTCTCCCTGAGCTATAGCCTCACCATGGGATATTGTATAGTCCTTAAAAATCATGCTTACTAAGAATTCTTAATGAGATGGCAAAATGCTTACACTATAATGTTAAGTGAGAAAAGCAGGACATAAAATCACACAAATATAATCTCACCATGTAAAACAATATATGCAGGAGGGAAAAACCTAAAATGTTAGCAGGATGGTTAGTCTCAGGTGAGAGGATTATGGGAAATTTTTATTCTCTTGTCTATACTTTTCTGTATTTGCCACCTTTTTTACTAAGGCCATTACCATTATTATAATTATAGTAACAACAACCAAAATCCAGAAAGAAGGTTGGAAAGCCCAGGACTGGCATAACTGGAATGTGAGGGGGTGTGGGTCTCAGCAGAGGTGGTTTCGGGAGAATGACTGTGGCTTCCAGCAGTGCAGCTACAGCCCAGCCAGTTTTGGAGTGAAGGGTGAGGTGAGGTGAGGTGAGGGGAAGGGCAGAGCAGAACAGAGATGGCTGCCCACTGGGGACAGTCACAGAAGGCCAAAGGAGTCCCCAAGGGCATCTGTAGGCCCTTCTTAGGTGAGGGCCATGAGCCTTGTGACTTCTGATGGAAGTCGACCCAATGACCCAGCTGGTGGGGGGTAGTGCCCCCCACTGGACCTCTCTGACCAGCAGGACCCTCCTGGTCCCACAGCCGCCTGACTGAGGGGTAGGAGCGGGGAGGGCAGGCAGCTCCTACTGGGGCTTTGATGTCTCATGCAGATGACAACCAGCGCCTGCACTAGGGCCTGCTGGGAGGAGGAACGGGAGTCGCCTCCCATTAGGACTGTAGGATACACTGAGCTAATTGCATTAGGCTGCACTTTATCTCTGGCTTGCATTTCAGATGCTTCGCATCTGTGAACAGAGCAGGAAACAAAGGAAAAGAGTGAATCTCCCGAGGAAAGAACAATTGAACAGACAAGCTTCCTCATCAGAGGCCCCTGCCCCATTTCTGTCTGTGGGACAGATGGGAACTTGGGGTGGCAAAGGGGGTTTGGGATTAGCCACACTCATCGGTAGTCTTCCTGAACTTGCGGAACAATAGTGCGGCTTTTACAGCGTTCTCTAACTAGAAAGCTTTCCGGCGTGCCCTGTCTGCAGCCCCTCTGTGTTCCCAGATTCTTGGGGGTGCTGGTGGGTTCAAAGGCACAGAGGCTTCTTCCCCATAATCAGAGCTATGGGTGGGTGGGTGGGGAGTCTTGCGCTGTGCCATTGAGGGCCCTGTTTGGGTGTGAAGTTTGAAGGTGGAGACTCCAAGCTCCTCACCAGCACCCTACTTCACTGGCAAGACGGAAACCCCTCCTGCCAGTAGGGGGCGCTGCAGTCCCTCTCTGATGCTGCCGGTCCCTGGAGGCCTCCCAGGCCGGAGACAGGTTTGGTTCTCAGGGTCCTCCCTTCACGTTTCTGCCCTGCTGAACCAGCATCCAGACCCCAGCCTGGTGGTATTAATACCTTGAAACAGTGGGCTCTGGGGACTCAGAGGCCCTGGGCCTGGCCCTTACGGCAGGTAGTGCTGCCAGCAGAGGGGGCTGGGGTTTCCTCCTCCTCAGTTGGGTAACCAGACTCTGAACTTTAAAAGCTCCAGGAGTTCCAGTTTCCACCTTACCATTGGGGCGTTCCTGAACTTGAACAACAGCACACTTTGCCAAGGGCTCAGGCCCTTGGTTCCAAAACACTCCTGAGGCCGCTTGTGCCTCTGTTGGTTAGCTGGTTTGTTCAGCAAACAAGCTCTGGGCCCCTGCTCTGTGGCCGGCCCTGCCCAAGACACTGGGGATGCTAGGTGACCGAGACTCAGTCTGCCTTCCAGGGGCTGCTGTCGGCTACCTCTGCGAACTGTGGCCGAGTTAGACTTCAGAAGGATCTGGGGGTCCTGGGGGCTCTGGAGCCCTGGCGGCAATTGGGTGCGGCTACAACAGGCCTGCTGTCTGGCTATGTCTTTCATGAATATTACAAGCGAGTTCTTATGTACAAGAAATTTGTTCTGCTGTGAGAAGGAAAACAGTCTTTTTTTTTTTTTTTCCTTTAGGAAAGATAAATAAGGCCCCTTGTATTCTACTCAGCACTAGCAGCTTCTGAAGCTGTGAGCAACTTGCAGTTCAGGAATTTTTATTTATTTTGTTAAAATAATGACATGAACATTCCGTCCTCTGCTCCCTCCAGAACAAACACGGACATGGGTTGTGTGCTTTGCCCTTCGCCCAGGCGCCCGGGCGCCCAGGTGGAAGAGGAGAGTCTGGTAATGTGAGTCAGCCTGGCCTGACCAGAGCCCCTCCAGGTCCAAAGTCAACCCCCGGTCCTGGGTTCTGGAGGCTTCTGGGGAGTATGTGGGGGTCTGCTGCTCCGGCTCTGAACAGAGCTCCTGCTCAGTCTTTTCCCCAGGGTCCAGAGACCCAGAGGTCCAAGACGCCACCCCCATCCCGAATGCCAGGCCTCCTGGAGCTCCACCTCTTGCCAGGGGGCTGTCCTGAACCCAAGAATGCCACAGAAACCAACCAGAAGAAGAGCTCAGGCTGGAGGAGGAAGGCAGGGGGAGCCTCCCCTCGACCCTGCCACTGTCATTGTCGGGGACATTGGTGAAGCCACCCAGACATTTGGCCTTTCCCCAGCATTCCTGGCCATGCTTCTGCTCCTGTGACATGATGGCACTTGGCAGAAAGAGGCAGACGAAGAGAGCCCTCCTGCCTGGCACCAAGAAGTGGCCCTATCTGCCCATCATCCGGCCTGAGCAGGCTTCTCTCTGCTTCCCTTTAATGACATGCTAATGGGATGCATCATTAACGCAGCAGCTTTTAAACCCTGAGCTCTTGTAAATTTTCAAAGGTCACACTTTTACGGTGGCTGACAGCATCCTGCTTCTTTAGGCAGCTGAAGAACACTAAAGACCCTGGCCCTTAACGGAGGAAACTCTCTGAGGTGGTGGCATGGGCTGAAGCACCTGCTGGTCGGGGGGCTGGGAACCTCCACCCTGCAACAAGCCTCCCAGGGCCCCCGAGTTGTGCTCTGCCAGCTTGGGGAGGACCAGTTACACGCCGCCCACAGAGCTACACTGGGCCTGCTCCACATAGGGGAAGGTGTGCGGGGCCGCAGGCGGTGCACAGTGCAGAGATACCTGGCAGAGGGGGCGAGGGGGACTGACACCGCTGGAGCGGCAGAGGCGCTTTGCCTCCCACAGAGCGTCATTTGCTCATCAGGCTGTGCACCCATGAAACTGCGACAGACCCGGGGGGCTGCTCTTTGCTAATTTGTCCATCCAGAGGGAGCACCTTTTTCTGCTTTGCACAAAGGTGCCATATAGGCCAGCAACAAGGCGGTCAGGGGTGTTTGAAAGATGAGGGGATGAGACTCCCCGGGGCCTTCACATGCCTCACTTGTTCTCACCCCCATGCCCTGTGCACACGATGACTGCAGTCTTGGCACACCGCCTCTCAGGGCTGTGCTGACACTGTACTGGTGGGCCAGCTCCATGAGGGCAGAGACCTGGCATGGTGCCTGGCCCAGCTGGTGCCTGGCATGGTGTAGGTGCCCAGGGAATGAATGAATGAGGGCAGAGTCTCTGGGCTACAGTGTTGGCCAACAGTAGGAGCACGCATCACTGTAGATTCACAAATGTGTGAATGCATGGAGTTCACTTAGGATGAGTGAATAATATGGGTAATAAAACAGAGGTGTGAAATAGCTTGGTGAGCTTGGGCAGTGTGATGTAACGAATTCCCCTCAAAGGGGAGATGAGGTTTCCAGGCTGGGGGCCTCAAGCATTGGGACGCCCACCTCCATTGCCCTGGGTGCTGCTGGGGTGTCCTCAGAGTTTCAATGCCGTAACCCACTGCCCCTGCCGACGTGTCTGAGTATTGTAGAAGACGTGGGATGCTGAGGTTCACACCCGCCTCCGTGGGGTGAGGGGATCGCCCAGAGAAACCGGAACTCAGCCTTTCCCACTGTTTTCCCAAGAAGATCAGAAGAGGGTGAATCAATGGAGCCCGAAAGTCAGGGAGAGCTTCCAGGAGACATGGGATGGTGTTGGGCCACACAATCTAGGCAGGATTGAATAAGGCTGACGGGATTTGGTCTGAGGTCACCTCCAAAGGACCCCATAGCAACTACTGTGTTTCCAGCCCACATATATACGACAGAGCCAGGCTCACCTGGGCCTCCTCTGGGGGGATGGCAACAGCAGCACCACGTCCTGGTGATGACCCTGCCTCTACAGACTAGAACCTGAGAGCCATGACACTGTTGTCACTTGTGTGGTGCTGACAGGGACTGCCTTCTGCTGAGTGTTACTGAGTCCAGCCAGCCCCATCC